ACATGTTTAATTTTCCTACAAAAACAAATATAGCTAACTAAACCTTGTCATTTTCACACATACAGTACAGTAGCTCAAATTCTTTCAGTAACACACACACCAAAGAATTCTATTGTGTTTATCAACTTTTGCACTATATATTATGTATTTGTTGTGTTTATAAAAAAATATTTATTGTTGAACAAATTCACATTTTCTTCTACTTGATTATTTCTCTTGTTGTTGTCTTTGTTACATTTGATATTGTAAAAATTGTAGAGGGTCAGTTTTTATTTCTATTTATAACCAATACAAATTGGCTGACCCACTATAAAGGCAAGCATTACTAATAGAATGGAGTATTATAAATGTACTACTTTCTATAGAAAGTATTGTAAATAAATTTAGTACAGAAATGCATTATAAATAATGTAATCTTCATTGATTTGATATTAACGCAAGTATTACTGATATTATATGTACAGTTATTGCTTGAATGTACATTTGTTGTTTAACAGGCATTTTCACTTTAAATGACAATGATCAGTTAATCTTTAAATAACCGTGTTTATTATGATGGCATTCATTTAAACCGGTTTTCGAGGAAAAAAAAGAAGGTAAATTTTAAATAACGTATTCATCTTGAACGGTAGTAAATGGTGTTTGAAGGTTCATTAAATAGGACTCCTGGAGTTGACTAGGCGGGAAACTTTTGTCTGTGCAAAAGGGACGCCATATAATCCATATTTGGTTCCTGAAGTCCTAGTTGTTAAACCTGCAAACACCGTATACTTCCGCTCACGTAAACTCCAAGGTTTTCATCGACATTTACGTAACCGTGCCCAGGCTGACCACGTGACCGCATTGATGGCGTCGCGTATTATTTGCAAACTCATACATTTAATATTTTACAACATTAAACACAAATTTTGTTTGGAAACTGTTGTTATATTCTATTCAGAGAATGCCACGAATGTTTCACGACTGAATACTTCATGAAGACTACAGTGATTGAATTCAGTTTTGTTTGTCGATGTCGTTTTTGCTATTTACACATAAATGAATGTCTTTTATTTTATACAAAATAACATGTATAGACAGGCAAACAATCTCTTTGTCTGATCCCCAGATATGTGTCAAAAGCATTCAGAAGTATTTAAAATTTACTGCGTAAACATCTCTAGCTTTGTTCTTCTTCGTAAGCACCTATATATGTTGAGAATAGTTATGTACACAGCTAACAATACTCAGATTCGAACTCACAATTAAAATGGCCCTTTCAGATCGACTACAATGACGACGATATTTTCATTATCGTCACTTAATTTTACTGCATCATTAACCCGGTATCAACAAAATATTTGTATTGTTTATATTACCGGGTCACAGATTGTTATTTACACAAGTCAGCATAGACTGACACAAGGCCACGGGATTGGAGCATCTTGAAGGATAGAAATCACAATCATGAATTAGTCTGCAAGACGAGATTTCTAACCATGACCTTACAGTTTCAAATTCCTGATATATGTAATAATGATTGATGCTGACCTCTAGGAGAGCAAATCTTTGAGCCTTCTTCGGCTTACATTTTCCACTGACATGAAGTGGAGTGATTACATTGAACCAATTGCCAGGTCTACTGCTAGGAAAGTTGGTTCAATGTTATTGGTATCTGGTATCTCGACTTAAGTCACTTAGTAACCGACGTGACGTGGTTTCACTTTGTCTTTTCTACAAATATTTTCATGGCAAGTGTTCTGATAAGCTTCCACCCTTTGTGTTTCGACTGCATGAATTTAAACGTTCTACTAGATTGGCAACTAGGTCTCACAGTTTTACTGTTGAACTAGCCAGATGCAACCGTATGTTAGCACTTCAGATTTTTTTTATTCCTGCCACATGTAAATTTCAGAAAATTCTATGCAATACCAATCGCCGTCTTCTATCTTCCTGAAACCTGTTCTTTTGTTGTCCTTCTTAGTTGTATTATTGCCTTACTTGGGGTGAAATGATTAAATAATAATAATAATAATAAGAAGAAGAAGAAGAAGAAGAAGAAAACTGCAAGAAATTGGTATGAACAACACCCAGACCCGGTTACAGAAATAAGAACTGTAACAATGTTATGGGACTTTACAATACGCACAGACAGTACAATCAAAGCTAATCGCCCTGAGATCGTGATTAGAGACCGCAAAGACAAAATGTGCCTCCTTATTGATATGGCAGTCCCTGCAGACTGTAGTATATCTTTGAAGATCTTTAAAAACTATCAAAATACAAATCTCAAAAATGTGGCACATGAGGACACTAACAATTCCAGTCGTAGTTGGAACCCTCGGATTGATTGGAAAAATTCAAATAGACTCATTGAAGGAATCCCTAGTAGCTCATGCCTTAAAGAAATACAAAAAAATGTACTCACAAATGCAGCCCACACGAAGGGTTTTATCTATATAAAATATGTGCGATTTCTTTTTCAAAACTGCTCAGTGGAAAATGCCATGATGCCATTTTTAACCTTAGGTCTCTGGCCGGGAGCCGGAAAGAAATGAGTATACACCAGAAAGCAAAGGAAATAAAACGATAATAATAATAATAAATGCTCTGATCTTACACATGGCATGACTCTCGTGGCTTCTAATCTTAACTGATCGGAGGAGGTTTTAATATATACATGTTTTGTTTTGATGATTTGAGATCGGCTACAATAAATGTCTCGTTCATTACCACAGACCTAGCTGACCTTAACCAGTCAATACATGTCCCCGAGAGGATGACGTGCTGTGAATCTCTGTTTATGAGTGGGAGAGGTGGAGGAATCATGGGGGCAGGGTATCGAGAGGGTTGTTCTTTTTATGTTTGAAGAATGAGGCATGCAAGGAGACTTGGGAGTCACAACTTGGGAACACCTTCAATCGCAGACCATCTCAGCGGAGTGGTGACCCAACCTGAAGGTATTTCTAACCTTCAAGGTCATGCGCTATCAAAATATGTCACCATGACACACAGATTTGGCTGGGATACATGTGCCGGGTATACTCTTATCAGAACAGATGCCATGATGGATCTATTGGGCTTTATATATTTGTACTCCAGTGTCACTATATTGGCATACTGTACTTACATAATAATAAATCCATTATTTAAAACAGTAATGAAGTAGAAAAGAAAAGATGTTTTACATTAAACACAAAAATTAAATGAAATAATAATTTACTTGGCAAATTTTAATTTTATTTTTTAAATAATTCTTTAGAAAAGATAACTTAAAATGTTTTATGGAGATTTTAGGAAATGATGCAATTTACCGTCAAGGAAAGTCCGAGAAAAAATTGGATCAACTTTGGCGCAATTCTTAATATATAAAAAACGCCTATGCACGTTTTCTAAAAAAATAAAACACTCGACCACATATTTTTGACCAATCGGGTGTACAAAAAAATACGCGGTCGCTTCGTAAGAAGTTAGTGGAGCTAACGCGTGTGTGCGTGTTTCCATTAGAACATTTAAATAATGAGAATATTTTCAAAACGCTTCAGAACAGTTTACTTGTCCGGCAAGAGGAAAACAACTGTGCCTTACCGCAATGAACAGTATCAAATTAAGATTCTAAACTTGGCGATAATGCGGCTACTGATATTTCTCCATAACTCGCAGAGAATTTAAAGAAAAACAAAACACGAACGATTAATTTTTGTCTTGTGTTGTAAAAAAAAAAACGGAAATAAAAACTTCTTTATTTTGTAACACTCATGTTAATCGTTTTCTATTAACATTAGTACCACTATAGTGATTTTCAAAGAATTTTCCAATAATTTCTCCAAATTTTCGGAAATTCATTTCGATTCTTTTTTTAGTCTTTCAACCTGCGTTCGAGAAAGAAATGTCAATGGTGGCATTGAACAATTTAAAATAAAAAAATACATCATAATTAGATATTCTAGGCGTTCATTTCCGTAGATTATTTTGTTAATTAGAGGGTTACTAGAATGCTAATTAACATGTGCGTGTGAAGTTTCATAAGTATGAATCATATTACCACCCCGTCCAATCTGGTTGATGTCTTTTGCCACTAGATCTTCTTCACTTCAAATTATATCAAGATATTTTCCTACACGTACACACACATACACACACTCACACATATAATATCACAACTTTTTCGCAAAATATAATTTAAAGAGACTCTCTCTTCATCGTATAAAATGTTTTTGTTATATTATTAATAATATTAATAAATATATTTTTTGTAGATTTATATATTTTTATACATGATTTTTTTTATAAATATGCTTGAAGACAGACATCCTATCGAAATATTGTTTAATATTGTCAAATATTGCGTTTTTTCTTTTCTTTTTCTTTTCTTAAATCGCGCTCTTCTCTTGACTATTGCAAATATATAATTATTATTAATAAAATATTTCGTAGTAGGTTTATTCTTTATTTCCGAACCAAGCAGCTTATTTAAAGGCTGTAGAATAACGATGTCGGAGTTAGCTCCTCCTTAATTTCCTGATTGTTCACTAGGGGACGCTCTACCTACACTATAAATACTGGGCGATTTCTTGCCTCGTTCTCTTTTTCATTTCAGCGAACACATCTATAATGTAAGCTCTCGCAGAAGATAGAGTCTTCCCATTTGTGGGAGACGCCGTGAACATTATACGCACATACACGTACGCACGAACATTCACTAAAATACAAACGTTTTACGCTCACACACAGACACAAATGTTGATGTCTTTGTCACTTGTAAATTTGTTGTTTAATACATATATTTGTTTATATATATATATATATATATATATATATATATATATATATATATATATATCGGTCTTGTTTGTTTTCTTTACATCTTCGGTTGGACTCAACTTGAGTCCGTCATGTTCTTGAAACTGGACCTTCTTCTAGCAGGAATAAACAGCACGTGTTCCTAATTGAACGACACGTAAATCTACGGTCCTCTACAACGATCTCAAGAAATGAAGTGTAAATGATCAGATACTTACGAAGGTATGAAGTTTGAGCCGAATACTTGTCCTTAAAAGAATTGAGCCGCTCTCGGAAGTACTCATCCGTCGATGACTGGATCATCGGTGGCTGAACGATGATGTACTCGTTGAGAGAATTCTGTTGAGCTTCGTATTCATTTTTGCGTTCCAGAAAATCGCGGATGGAATTTGTGGCGTCTCTTCCGTACGTACAGCCAAACTTGAAGTTTAATCGCGGAATATAGCCTGAATAAACAAAAAGCGAATGAAAAACGAAGTTGTGTCTATACACACGCGCACACACGCCCGTATACACACAAACAACGTTCGTGCCTACGAATTTGAAAATTGCAAAAACAGTTTCATTGAATACTTTTCTCTGCAGACGTAGTATAGAACCATATCACATGATAAAGGAAAAATAAACCAATCAAATCTTTTTATTGTAATGTTGAAAAATCCTAAACCTTGAGCCTCTTAAAATAAATATAAACAAGGTTGGCAACGAAAAATTCGGGAGACGCACTTGCTTTCACAAGGATTTTGTTTTCAGCTACCAGCAACTTCATAGGAACTGTCTTCAATCTTCTATCCAACTTCTACTGACTAAAGTCACAGCCAGATTCAAGGAACTCTTCTTACACACTATGTATGTAAATCTCTCTCTATCTCTTTTCACGCACTTGCACACATATTTGCACCCTCTTTTGTATCTCAATTGTTTTATTTGAACTATACATAGTAGATCGTTGCTATTGTTATTCTGTTTATCTATATATGTATTGTATCGATTTATTTTGAAATGGTAAAATATTTTGCCGAATTTTTTTGGGAACTAACGGTTAACTTAAATAAATATAATATAAAATATAAATCCAAATAAATGTTACTTGTTGACTCTCTCTACAAACCTCTGAAATGGATTTGCTCTGCGAACATAGAACACAATTCACTTTTAAAAGTCCAAAATAATTACTCATTCTAAACTACAAGAACAATAAGATGGCATCTGTCTGTTGATGATTAACAGGTAAAAAAAGGTAAGTCAATTTGCACTAAATTCATATACTTGCAGTGAATTCCTTATCTCGAAGAGTCGAAACTAAATGACGACCCCTAAAAGTGTTATTGCTTTAAGTGAAACATATTGCACTCTTGCTCGCTCTGGTCAATCGACAAAGTAAAAATATATTTTCTAATCAATTGGTTTTCGTTGCACTTAACTCTTCTCTTGGACTCACTTTGTTGGTATAAAAATGACAATGGAACTATTTTTACTATGGCGATTGATCAGAGCCAGCGAGGGTGCAGTAGGTTCTACCTAAAGTAATAAATCTTTTAGGGGTCGTCATTTAGTTTCGACTATACGCGATAAGGAGTTCGCTCTAAGCATTTGAATTTAGTGCAAATACAGATTTCCTGTATCGGTCTAATACTATCTTAATAATAAGATGAACAAAGGTCACAATAAACTCATTGAAGTTGGCTGTGATGATGATCTAATTCAGACAATCGTAGTAAGTTCACTGAGTGACCCTAAGAGGTCAGTGAATGGAAGTGGAATAGGTATCATATTTTCTGTGAGAAAATTGGCAATTGGCTTATGGGGAGAAAGAACAACTGAAAATGTTGAATGTGAATCTTGTCTTGTGCAAGTTGGTAGTATCACGAGACAGGCAAAGTGAAGTGAACTGGCTATAAAATCGTCCCGTGATTTTTTTTGTTTATTTTTGATTGGCCAATATTTGTATATTTTGTTGAAGCCTAGTTTTCAGTCTATAAATGTTGGACGGAAATGAAAGTATGTTTATTGGATGAGACGGAAAAATTTAAAGAAAATTTTAGTTATGTGTGCGACTGACTTAGGTACGGAAATTATATAGTATGAGAATTATGTTCAAGCTGAATGAATCCAATTCTTTGCTACTATAGCAACATGTAAATGATTTAGCAGAAGCATCAAATCAATACGAATCCGTTTTATCTATAAAGATCAGAGCTGACATGTTTCGCCAGAGCAATAAATTCGAATTCTTTGGAAGAGAATAACTTGTAAATAATAGCAGATAAACTGGCATTTGTTTTTGTCTGAATTCCTGAGACGAGGTACTGGTCATGTTTTATTCGAGTGTAGATCAATAAATCGATCGCTCGACATTAACTGAAATTTGATCTGAAATGTTCACTGTATAATCGATGTAATTAATATTCACCATACAAATAAGTATTTTTCAATAGGAAGAGAAGTATATTGAAAAATAAATGCATTTTTCTACCATAAGGCTACGTGAACTGATTTTTCGCGCCATTTTTTTTGTCTTTGCTGCTTTTATCACACACTATTTCAATTACTGTGCTCTTCGACCTTGCTCAGGTGTTGCATTCAGTAATCTTTCGAGAAGGTTACTTAGTCGACAACAGTGAGCCTGTGTCGTGTGTGATTTGTACATTTGCCCGTAGAAACTATTTGAATGATCAAGATGATTCAATCAACAAAGCCCAGATAAAACTTTGTTAATGATGCTTCAAAGGTGGCTGGGTGGGCGTCCATTGAAAGTGATTCACGTTCTGAAAAGGCTTCGATAAGTAGAACACTCAGAAATGTTGGACTCGTGCAAGCTGCAATCAAAGATAGTCGGCGATAGTCAGTGCGAGAATTAAATCTTTGGGTTCCGTCGGCTGTCTGAAAAGTATTTGACTATTTTGAATTACTAGACTGCCCAAATTTCGTGTATCGTACAAAGATTTTTGACAAGATAGCGTTTTATTCAGGTCAGTCGGATTCTTATTTCCAAAGTTAAAATAGCTGTTAGAATAAAGACCATGGATAAGTTTAAGGAGAATGCAACGAGGCAGTATGTGAAGATCCTGAAGGAGGAGTTTCCAGACTGCTTTGAAAAATTAAAAGGACGCTGGGATAAGTGTATGCAGTCTAAGGGGAGAACTTTGAAGAGAACTAATGTGTCATTGTTCTAAGTAGGCTACATTTTCGTTAATGTTAAATGGATGAGTCATTTCCGGAGGAACCTCCTTTACATGTTTAGCCAAATGGCTATGTCTCTTTTTAATTGCCTACCTGTATATCCAGGCACCAATGGCGAGGCAAAATTTCCATGTCCTTCCGGAAGGGGTGGAGCAGTCATTTCCTCAGAATTTTGTAATTCTCCAGGACCCATTGTCGGACTACGGAAGTACGGAATATCCTGGCAATAGATTAGTAATATGCAACTAGTTGTTTATATAACCTGTGATATAACGGATAGATTTTATTAAACAAATAACTGAAAACATTCATTCACACTATTGATTACATATACAGTGATACAACAAATTTTGGCGGTAGGAACAAAATTGGAATAATATTCACGATTATAATTTAACGCCGACTGCATTGGAATCTGGTAAATATAGACATTTGGTTCCATTGGTTTTTCTTATTGTTACCCACTGATTTTATGGCTAAACGATTCTACCGCTTAATGTTAGTCATTTTCTATACTAACAAAGTAAATATTTCTCGGCATCCATTTCTCTCTCCTGGCTCCAGCCCTCGGTGCAAAACTCTTCTCCAGCTCGAGCGATCGTTAGCGATGTCTTATCCACCTCTCGATGTCCATGTCCATCACACTCATCTTCCTTTTGCAGACCTCCTTGAAGCGAAGATAAGGTCACCCTCATGCCCTCCTGCCAGTGGCAAATTCCCTATACAGAAGTACCTTCGGAATCCTCCCATCAGTTGCCTGTTTTTCTTGTGTATTTACCGCCGCGGTGAGGCGACGCTGGCGTGTTCTCTCCAGAGCGCAGGCCTGGGAAGGGTATTATGAGAGATCGGAGATTGTTCATGCAGCACGTCTCCCCTCTCCAAATAATAATAATAATAATAATAATAATAGTCCATGCCTCAAAGAGATACAAAAAATTGTTTTCACAAGTACAGACCACACTTTACGAAGGGCTTTAACTATGTAATTTTTTTTTTGTCAGTGGAAAGTGTCATGATGCCATTTCTAACCTTAGGTCCCTGGGCGGAACCCGGAAAGAAATGTGTAAACGCCAGAAATCAAAGGAAATAATAATAATAATAATAATAATAATAATAATAATAATAATAATAACAATGATAATGATAAATAAAATGATCCTGGAAAATTTCAGGAGACGACGCAAAAATCTTAGTGCAGCGTGGATTAATTATCGTAAAGCCTGTGTTCCACATTCTTGGATCCTTAAGACTTTGGAAATGTACAAAGTCTCCCCTGTGGTATTAAATTTCCTTAAGCACAGCATGGGAATGTGGAACACCAAACTATACCTTAGTCACACCGGGGGCACTGCCATATCCAACCGTCTGAATATCCGACGTGGAATCTTTCAAGGAGACTCTCTGTCACTCCTTCTGTTTTGTTTATCCTTAATCCCTCTTACACATGAACTGAACAACAGTAGCTATGGTTACAAGATAAATAAGAAAATATTCAATCACCTACTCTACGTGGATGATCTCAAACTCTTTGCCAAAGACGACAATGAGTTGAAAGGCCTCTTCAATATTGTAAAATACTTCAGTGACGACATAGGTATGGACTTCGGATTAGATAAATGTGCAAAAGTAATATTCAAGAAAGGTAGAATTACAGAAACACCCTTAATAGATTTAGATTTTGTCACAAATATTAGGGAACTGGAGCATGATGAAGCTTATAAGTACCTAGGAATTAGCGAAGGAGATGGCATACAACACCCCCAAATGAAGGAAAAAATAAGAAAAGAGTACTACAGGCGTGTATGTCTGGTACTAAATACTGAGCTAAACTCAAAAAACAGAATATCAGCCATAAACACATTGGCTGTCCCTGTGGTGCAATACAGCTTTAATGTCCTTAACTGGACCATAGCTGAAATTAAGCGAATGGACGCCAAAACGAGAAAGCTTCTCACTTGCTATCGCATGCATCATCCCAAAGCTGATGTTGATCGTCTGTATGTGCCCAGATCCGAAGGAGGCAGAGGATTAGTTCAACTAGAACTGTCCTACAAAACTACAACAATTGGCCTCCAAAGATACTTGGAAACTACAGAAAACTGGATGATGGTATGCGTCAAGGAACATGAAAGTAGTAAGCGTCTTTACTCCGTAATGAAAGAAGCCAACAAATTCAAAATGGAGTTTCAAATGGGCGTAGAGATGCAACTACAGCACAATACACCGGCTGAAACTGCAAAATACTTAAAAAAGACAGCAAAGACGAATGCAACCGACCAGATACAGAAGCGATGGCAAGATAAACCGCTTCATGGCCAATACTCTGCCCGTACCAAACAAGCTGACGGAGACAAAACCCGTACCCATCAGTGGCTACGTAGTGCAGGGTTGAAAGCGGAAACTGAAGGTTTTATTCTTGCTGAGCAGGACCAATGCTTGCTAACTAGGAATTATCAAGTACATATACTAAATATTGTGTCAGCCCAAAATACAGATTCTGTGATAAATATCACGAAACGATTGATCATCTTGTATCAGGTTGCATGATGTTGGCACCCACTGAATATAAAACCCGACATGACAGAGTGGGCCAATATCTGCACTGGAAAATCTGCAACTTCTACGGGAAGGAAACTGAAAGAAACTGGTATGAACACCACCCAGACCCGGTTACGGAGATAGGACCTGTTACAATTCTATGGGACTACACAATACACACTGACAGAACAATCAAGGCCAACCGCCCAGATATTGTTATTAAAGACCACAAACAAAAACGGTGCCTCCTTATTGATATGGCAGTCCCTGATGACTGCAATGTATCTTTGAAGATATTCAAAAAGCTGTCAAAATACAAGGACCTTGAAACAGAAATCTCGAAAATGTGGCATATGGGAACATCAACAATCCCTGTTGTAGTTGGAGCCATAGGACTGGTTGGAAGAGATTGCAGTAGACTAATTGAAGGGATTCCTGGAAGTCCATGCCTCAAGGAGATACAAAAAATTGTTCTGACAAGTACAGCCCACACTTTACGAAGGGCTTTATCTATGTAATTTTTTTTTTGTCAGTGGAAAGTGTCATGATGCCATTTCTAACCTTAGGTCCCTGGGCGGGACCCGGAAAGAAATGCGTAAACGCCAGAAATCAAAGAAAATAATAATAATAATAATAATAATAATTATTATTATTATTATTATTATTATTAATATAGTGGAGTCAAGGATTTTTAATTGTGTACACACAACAAATTTTAGAGTAAAGATCTGTAAAAGTTCAAAGCGACTTTTGATACACCTAAATATTTGACAGTAGGACAGGGTCCAGCAAAAAAGTGACGTTCTAGTGAATAAAAACAGTCGCGTTGATCATCCAAACTCGGTTTGTCGACTCCGTTTTCCTAATGATAACCGTTACATTGTCTTGCAGCTCCGAATGCAGAGTCAGGCATTTTTACAGTTGCGTATAAATATCTTCAAATTCATATACAAAGACAGAATTTAAATTAAATTATTAGAGTAAAATGTGTCTTACTTGAGCAATATGATGTGTAGCTGTCCCATACGTATCTGATATTCTGTATTTCAACTGCGGTATGTAGCCTTGATATCTGGAAAGGTAGTTCAAATCATATCGAGCTGTCAGTCGAGCTGTCAGTTTCATTTTTTTTTTTTAGAATTTTAAATCAAAAATTACAAATACAAGAAAAAGGATTGTTTAATATGATTTAATATAGTCTGAGATTTATTCACAAGGATTTTCTTTTTGTTAGTAGAACATACAAAATTAGAATTTTAAATTACAATATTCATTTTTATTTGATTCTGCACGGATAATTACCACAATGTGATCCATGGCAAAGACCAAAATAGAATTATTTAAAAATGTACAATTAAAATACAAATACTTTTTTTCATTCTGCTCCTTAATCCTTAACCACAGTTTATGCTTTCATAAACGATAAAAACCTAACAAAGGCATTTAATTTTTACGAATTTGTTCGAATGGATTCCTATTCGTGACCTCACGTTCCGCGATTTCAGTTATCCACACAGTCCACCCTACAAATAAATAATATTAAATTTTTACTTAATAATGGTTTCAAAGAGTAGTGATGTTTGCAATTCAGATATATCAAAGAGAAGCCACAAAGTGTCTCTTTTATGTGAACAGATGAAAATTCTCAACTTATGAAAGAAGAAAAAAAATCGTATACTGAGGTTGCTATGATCTATGGTAAGAATGAATCGTTTATCCCACACGTGATTTGGAATTAGTAAATTATTATAATTGTTAGATTTTATAATTTTTTATTGTTTTATATGTTTTATTGTGCTAAATTTGTCAATTAAATTATTACGGTCCAGTACTATCCATAGTTTCAGGTATCCACTGAGGATGGGGGTCTAGCAACGTATCTTTTACTAGTATAACAATGCAGTTTGTTAATCTGACTTAATTATCGGAGATTCCAATTTATATTTCACTGACTTTACAGATTCTTCAACAAGTGGTATTTACTAAGATTAGGTGTAGGGTACCGAGTGGGGATAGAAGCCACGATAGTAATAATAATCTTCGAAATTATCTTGCTACTTATTACTCCACTGCGGAGAGCTCCAAGTTATAATCGCAACTCATTTAGATTTATACCTTGAAGTCATCGTCTTGCACTGAAACAAGTATAACAGGTTAATGAACTAAAACATATTTCATAAATTTATCGACCCTTATTCACCAATGATTTCTGTATTATTTAGGTTCAACTTCTACGATATGAGATAATTTCAAAAGCGAACATATTATAGCAAAAGCATTCACAGTCATATTGCTGATATGAATAGGCAGGACCTGTGCAATGGTCTCCTACCCACTAGAATCTATGATATTCTCCCAATCTACTACATTTCAATTTTCGTAAGGTAGTATTCATATATTTATTGTAACCAAATTATTTACAATAGTGGATCATATTAACACATTCAACATTATGGCTAAAAAATAGTGAATTTTATATTCCGTGTTTTTTAGAGACTCAACATGAGCAAAGCAAATTCACTGATTTGACCAAAAAAAATAAGAACTGAGAATGACATCAAAACCTGCAAAAAGTTTTCATCCTTTAAAAATCAGTTGTGCGTAGTTTAATTTGTTTACACACACACACACACACACACACACACACACACACACACACACACATATATATATATATATATATATATACCCGAGTAACACTTTTAAGCATTACCTCCTATTTATTATTTACCTGGAAACTGCAAGTTTTTAGCTACAGAACACTATTTTTTCTCGACAGTCACCACAATTTGCTATGCATTTTCTCCTGCATGTCACACTTGCAAAAGCGTTGCAAGCACATCACTGCCGCCACTGCCGAAATGCATTGCCCACCACCTGTGCTCACATTCAGTCTTCGGAAACGTTCAGCAACGTCTATGAATATCAATGGGTGTAACTTTATTCCGACAGGGAGAAATTCAGTAACACATCTCTGATTCGTATACACTTTCATGTAAGACAATACTTTACCAGACTACCCCTCGGCTGCTATTGTCGTCCTACACCCCGGTTGTCCAAGACGTCCAATACTGCGACTGATCGATGAAGTGATCGCTTCGATCCAGGTCCTGCTTTATCCCACGTTGTGATTTGCTTTGATCATAAGGCAGCCAAGATCGAATCGTCGTCAGGTATCTTCGTATTTGGCTGGTTCAAGCAGAGTGAAGGTGCAAAGAAAGAAAATAATACTCTAATAAATTAAAAAAATAAATACTATTTTTATATTAAGTCCTTCGTACAGTAATTGGTTAATTATTGTTAAACCCAAGAATTCGCGTGAAAACAATTATCGGTCCAACCAGCTTCTAACCCGGATGTGGCACTTTGTTAATTTAGTAAAGTTTGTTTTACAGATTTGGTAAAGTTCGGCACAAAGTTGGTGTCGGAGGTTCTCGTTGGCAGATAATAACGTGGGGTGTCTCGCGTTCGGTGTCTGGAATACACACACACACACACACACACACACACACACACACACACACACACACACACACTATCTCTATCTCTCTCTCTCTCTCTCTCTCTCTCTCTCTCTCTCTCTCTCTCTCTCACTTCGGAGTATTTGTATTTATTGACGTTCGCCTAAACCGGCGCGGGGCACGACGCAGTTGGGGAAATCGGTGTTTCCCCCTGCCTGTCATCTCCATTGTCTGGGTCCTGCATAATTTTCGGGGAATTCCCCAGGTGATGGTTACAGGCATTATTTTGCCCAATAACTTCCACTACCTCTTATTATCATCTCCCACTAATCCGCCCCAGTGGGTGTGGCTGGCTCCTCCACCTTCCTTGGTGTCTCATCTGTGCTCGCTACCTCAACCACCCTCCGACCAATAAAGATTAATTCCAAGTTCGTTGTTTACGCAGAAAAGTTTCCTAACCATAGCCCGTATTCTTAGCTTTTTGTGTGATCGACCAAGTGTCAATTATTATTGTCACATGACCTGTCGGAGTTCAAATTCACACCAACCCTATGTGTTTCATTGTTCAAAACCCCAACACTCAATTCACATGGCTGTCTACATGAGAATTAAAATCTTCAATTTTTAACCCTTCTTACTTTTTATCAGGGGTCTGTCATTATATCGTTCCTTCTATTAAAATCCGCGTAACAAATAGTGTCACACTATCTGTAACTCGCGTGTGTGTATGTGTACATGATATATATATATATATATATATATATATATATATATATATATATATATATATATATATATCTTACTTATTATAAAACCCAGGTTGTGTGTGTGTGTGTCTGTACGTTTATATATTGGATTGGATTTCCTACATTTTTCAACCGATTTCAACAAAACTTCACAGAACTACGTAAAATTACCTTGCGGTGGTTCTGACAGTGCCAAAAATTGGAAAAACACAATTGTTTTTGCATGAAATCAATTTGAAAACACGATTAAGAGGCATTAATGAAAGGGGGACAACTCATATCGAGTTATACTTATTAATATCGAGTTATCAAGTTATACTTATTATAAAACCCAGGTTGGTTGTTTGTGTGTGTTCGTTTATATATGGGATTGGATTTCCTACATTTTTCAACCGATTTCAACAAAACTTCACTTTTTTTTGGCTGGTAATGTTTCTTATTGTCTTGCACACTTTTTTCTTTATTTTTACATTCAGAATGCTTTAAAAATTCCATTTACAAGACAAATGTTTATAATAAAATTCTATTCAATTGGTAGACTCATAGCGATTGAAAACAATGTTTTTGTTTGAGTTTGACCAATTCGTAAAAAAAAAAAAATTAAACTAATTAAGACATGCGTGTCCATCAACCTTAAACAATAATTTTTGTCAATTTTATTTTTCAGTCTTTATGATGGCCGATACTTGATCTATCTCTTACTGTTACATCCCCGGGCAACACCGGGCTCTACTGCTAGTATATATATATATATATATATATATATATATATATATATATATATAACGGCCTCTCCCGTCGGTTTCAACGTATGAGGATCTGACAGCTCAATTTATTCAGTTATGAAATTTTGTGCGATAATCTTATGTGGCACTTAAGACCCGCTGATGATTTACAAAGGAGGTTGCATATAGAGCAAGTGTGAGGCTTGTGGGATGAGATCACTGTTAGATTGGCTGACCTTTTAGATCTTGCTCTCGCTTCTTGAAGATGATTCAGACAAGCAGATTGAATCTCTTTATATATATATATATATATATATATATATATATATATATATAAAAGAGAGATAGTAATTGAAATTAATAATATTTGGAATAGAAGACAGATATATAAATTGCATTAGAACTTGTTCAGCCGATATCATCAAAGCACATTCGGGGGAGGATATTATTTACATCACTGATTGATTGGTTAATGCTATTTATTCTTAATTACTAGAACAGCGATGTTGTTGAACTTTAGAAATCAAAGGTCTAGGACCTCTCTTACTCCGCGTCTGTTAGGCATTTATCAAACGTAAGGCGCCCAGTGAAGATATAACCTCATATATTAGTAATTGTCTGTGATTCTAGCCTGCTCATCACTTCCAAACGCTTGAAAGTATGAGAAAGGAAAAAATCCGATTTCAAATCGGGGCACTCGTGACATTTTATCCAAGGCGATAGTTTCGTACAAACAAAAATCCGCGGACAGTGCAAAATATCTATCGATTGGCACAAGACCAATTGGAAAACACAAGTGACTAACACTGCAGTAAATTCATATTTATATTGTCATACTTTTCGAACTGTTGAATTTATCCTTTGTGCTGCTCAAGATAACAGCAGGAATATTGTAATTAAAAAAGAGAATAAGTTAAAGTCATAAGTTCAGTAATATCCAGTACAAAACTAATACTATTAGCTGTCCTAATACAAGGGGAGTCTTAATAATCGGGGTGGGGGTGTTGACATTTTTCTCCATATGTAATATGGAAACATATCAGAAAATCATTTAAAGGGTCAACCAGGATTAACAAACGGGGTGTTTTTATAACCTCGCGGGTGAAGGCGGAAAATTTCTTGAAAAAATAAATATTCACATCTATTCGACACCAAAGGCTAAACTCCTAAATGACAAATGCTATTATTGTAGCGACATATGCCATTGCTGGATTGATTGATTCTTTTTTTTTTTTGCGGCTTATCAACATTTTTCTGGTTATTTAAAGCCAGAAAATATTTTAGATTTGTTAGAATTTTTACAGATAATAATGATTTACTGGTAAAAGTTCTACTAATTAACCCATATCTGGGGAGAAAGGGTGGAATCATATCTTTCCCAAGGGTATTTACGCGTAATTGAATATAACGAACCCAACTGGAATTTGATCTCCACTCTCTATTGGAAGAACATTTAACTGTTGACAAAAAATATTTAAGGTATGATTTTGCGAGGGGGTACTGAAAAGGTCTCAGAAATCTGACCGAACACTGAAATATCAGAATCCATTTTGGAATCTCTTCTGAGCAAACTTTCATAAGTGCATAATTTCACACTGCTTGTTACCATAGAGAACATCATTCAACTTTCAAATAAGGTCAGAATATTTTCACTAGTTTAAAGATTCGTTAAGTAGCAGAAAGGATTTACATAATTACCCATCCCATATTGTTTTTTTAAAAAAAAAATCAGGATGATCCAGTTTGGTTAAACGCTTCTTTGTGACTCACCTTAATTACAGTTATTCGTTATTGTAACATTAGGCAGAACAAATTCCTGTTTCTCGATTGGAAACTCTTTGTCACAGTTCTTTGAAGCCTACGAGACAAATGACTAGAAAAGTTAATTTAAAACTGCTATCTACACCCATCTGTTCTCTCCCACAAGTTAAATAGCTGTGTAGACAGGACTCTAGCTTTGGGTGACAGCCAATCTAGGAAGACACAATTCAAAACCGTGGAGACGTCCAAGGAGAAAATACGCCATTATCTTTCCCATTAAATCATGCAAATTATCAGAAAAAAGAAACGGAATCTGTGGAGAGCCATGATCGCCGACTTCCTGAAAGGATATGGTTTGAGTGGAATACCAACTTCGGCAAGATATCCGTTTTAACAGACTTGAAACATTCACATCGATCGGGACAGTACATTTCTTTTCGCAGCTAACTGTATAGAACTTTAATGGAGGTTCTTTCTAATAAAAGTCACTTTAAAATCGAACCCCCAGAAACACGCATATTTCTTCGATAAACAAATTCAAAAGAACAAGTCTTTGTTCAATCTCTTCTTTGAAGTTAACTAAATGAAACTCTTGACAGATGGTGATTAGAATAACCAAAGATAATAGGTACGACAAAATTACAAATCTGGTCTTTTGTACGTGCGTCAAATACTTTAACTTTTCACACAGTCAGGAAACTAACTCATTGTAACGCAGTCATGATAACGGCTGCGGCGTTAAATATGACATAATGATCAAAATACAAATAAAGGAAACAATATGAACGGTAAGAAAGTTTTTAAATATATACGTAAATTTACAAAGTGAATGTTATAAAAATCCCACGTAGATCAAAATCGACAATTCAAATTCAGTTCATAAAACAGAGTCACCTGAAATTTTCGTGTCGGTCAATAAAAAACGGGAAATTCTCGTCATATAATTTTAGCTTTATTTTTTATTATCAATAAACTAGTCATGAAAAATAAATAAATAAAAATAAATAAACGAATGAAGTGAATTGGGTGTATGGAATTTCGACAACAGGTTATAACCGGGTGACTTTTTGACAAGAGATTAACTAAGTCTCTACACTTGAGGTACAAATCCTTTCTTATCATTAAAAGACTACTATGGACATAAGACGAAATGTTCAATTTATCATCATGACTGGTGGCTTAATCTCTAATTCAACCGAATAACTTCAGTGAATAATTGAGGTAGTCATAATAATAAGCAGACATGATTAACGAACCAATTTCACCGAATTAAATACCACCAATTACACCAATTGCTCCATACTAGTAGACTTGTGCTAGACTAAATTAACTTTTGCCAATACCAATTACTACTGGAGTTTCCCACAGCCAATCTTGAGCTAAACTAAGTAATAAGAAGCAAAAATTAATTTACCATCAAAGTAACAAATTATCATGTTCATTTTATGTGCGATATCTTGATCGCTAATATTTGAAATAACTTTTTCATCTTATAATGTATATTGGTAGATTATATGGAGTCCATGTTTGAAAAAAAAATGCCATTAAGCTAGACGTCATACAATACCGCTGAACGCAATATCTATGCAGGTGTCTTTTGGACCTCTGCCATTGTTATGCTTGGTAACTCAAGGGGATGTAAAAACCCTTGACCGTTGCTTCAGTTACTCCTTTTATCAACTTACCTATCAACTAAACTGATCTACTGATGTATATCAACCTGGATTTTAGTTAACTTAATAGACTATAAATACATTCAAATTATCGTGTTTTCTGTGTGTGTCTTTTGCATTGCACAGTTTATAGGATGTTATTAGCTGATTTTGCAATTATTAGATATCAAGCTTTCTGATTGTTCATACTGTGCCAAGCATACAGGCATCCTGCAACATTTCCCGTGTCTCACCAGACATTTTATGGATTTATTCAAATCACTATTAGGCAATGAAGAACCTAATTTTCTATCTTAAGCTATTTTGGGTTTTAATTTAATCAGACTTCTGGATATCAATGGGTTGTCTGTTCCTTTCGTACTAAAATTAAGTATAATGAGTTTGAGCCTCAGGCGGCCAACCTCTCCCCCAAGCAATAACTCTTATCCGGGAGGGACTAGCGTTAATCCCTGGCGCCTAAGGCTTCTCCAAAAAGGGAAATTCCGAAAGGGCTTCAGTAGTTATTATCCCTCGTCCCCTCTACGCGTCAGATCCCTTCTGTCGTATTCCGTTAGGGTGGGCGTTTGGTTAAATATCGAATAATACCGTAGTGAAAGACAAGAATAACACTCCAGACTGTGTTCTATCCCTCCGTCAGATATCTTGGCAACATAGTGATAAATAATTCAGTGGGTGAATGAAAGTTTGGCGAATTACTCTCCCTTAACTACTTTACCTTCTTAAAGACTAGCAACAAAAAGTAGTTACACTGTTGTCAACCTTGACAGGGACCAATCTCGAGAAACATCGCAAAGATACGTTGGGGTACGACATTAGTAATGCTTATGCAGAGTTCATTGATAGTTTCGGGTGTTTCAACATCTCGTTCAGTGACCCCACCCACGCTCCATCGTAGATCACGATTGAAAACAAAAAAAAAGGGTTTTGTGCTGCAATTCAAACGAACAATTCTTTTTCAATATTGCTTTGAAAATGTCTCATGTTTTCCATTAACTGATGTGTTTAATGTGAATTTAGTGTACTACTGTCACCCAGTGAGGATCGAATAAACTGCATTAAATTGCTAACAGTTACTCTACAACAACGTACGCCTGCATGTTTGTAGATAATAATTACTAAGTTTAACCGACTCCGACACAGAACTAACCCTTTTGTACGCATGCATGTAATGGTGATGACGCGCATGTATCCCCAAAATGACAACTGCTATTTTTCAGCAGATTCATGAGAAACTGAAACTGTTCGGCTATACATGTTCAATAAATTAATGATTGTACTAAGCTCACTCTCAAAGACAATGCAATAAAAAATAAAAATAAGTGGTTCTTAAATATTTCTTTCATTTTCAATTTTAAAAAAAAGGTGTACAAAAATGAAGCTTGAAAAGTAGGGGTAAAAGAAAATGAAAAAAATAATTGTACAGGCAAGAGAAAATAAGACAAATAGAAAAACTTTCTTTACCAACACATGGAACATAAAAATTACCTTAAGGACGAAATGCGTTGGTGAAGAAAATTCTTCCTTTTGACATTTTTTATATTGCCTTTGCAGATATGATTTTTATTTATTTCTGAATTTTTACAAACACA